TACATGAAATATGAACACAAAAACGCATAGTTGAGATAAGGAATGAATTTTGTAATTTTTGATCAGTTGTACAACATTTAGTTTCTGAAACGAGAAGGTAAAAATAAAAGAATGTTTTAAATGAAAGTGAACAAAAATTTATTGGCAATTTTTTTTAACCCTTTCATTTTATGATGCACTCTCCTCTCCTCCCTCTCCTCCCTCCCTCCCTCCCTCCCTCCCCCTCTCTTTCTTCTCTCTCTCTCTCTCTCTCTTCTCTCTTCTCTCCTCTCTCTCTCTCTCTCCTCTCTCTCTCTCTTCTCTCTTCTCCTCTCTCCTCTCTCTCTGTCTATACATATATATGTAATAAAGAAATTATAATTAATAGTTATATTGATGATGATAATAGTAAGACAATAATCTTCTCTCTCTCTCTCCTCTCTCTCTCTCATCTCTCTCTCTCTCTCTCGTATACATATATATGTAATAAAAATTATAATTAATAGTTATATTGATGATGATAATAGTAAGGACAATAAATCTATGAATTATATATATATCATATATATACAATATATAACATATATGTATTATACATACATATATATATATATATATATATATATATATATATATATATATATGCATATCTATATGTGTGTGTGTATGTATGTATGTATGTATGTATAATAATATATACATACATATATATATAGTATATATATATTATATATATATATGGTGTGTGTGTGTGTTGTGTGTGTTGTGTTGTGTTTGTGTGTGTGTGTATATATATATATATATATATATATTATATATAATATATATTATATATATACTGATACAAATAAGCATACATACAAATGTATCATGCCTAACTAGCTGTATGTCTCATTAGTGACATTACCCCTAACTACCTAAAGGTCATACATGCACACACACACACTCGCTGCCTCGGGTGCACGTCTGACGTAACTCCCATGAATTCGAGAGAGAGAGAGAGAGAGAGAGAGAGAGAGAGAGGAGAGAGAGAGAGAGAGAGAGAGAGAGAGAGAGAGAGAGAAGAGAGAGAGGAGAAGAGGGAGGGAGAGGAGAGAGAGAGAAAAAGAAGAGGAGAAGAGAGAGAGAGAGAGAGAGAAGAGGGAGAGAGAGAGAGAGAAAGAGAGAGAGAGAAGAGAGAGGAGAGAAGAGGAGAGAACAGAGAGACAGACAGACAGACAGACAGACAGACAGACAGACAGACAGACAGACAGACAGAGAAAGAGAAAAGAGATAGAAGAGAAAGTAAGAGAGACAAGGGCGAAGACAAGCCTGTGCAACTCTCGCATAAATCACTTTGACTTAAAAGGTCAGAGTGCGTTGGTGCGATGACTTGGCAGAATTCTCTAGTCGCTTCCAAAGGAGGAAAGAGAAGAAAGAATAGAAAATGAAGAAGATAAAGATAAAGTAAGAGAAATTAAAAGAAAAAATATAATCATGAAGTTAGAAAAGAATAAAAAAGGACAAAGATAAAGGAGGCAAATTGAATGAAGAAAAAAAGGATAATGTGGAGAAATAGAAAATGCAAGAAATATCGAAAATGCAATGAGATATGTGCAAACCGAAAGAGATGAAAATGAGAATATGAAGAGAATAATGGGAGATGAAAGGAACAATCGGATATGTATAACAGAGAAGAGGAGAAGAGAGAGAACCCAAATCCATTTTTTAGAAGAACTGCTTTCAAACACAAAAGAAAAATAAGTTACATTGTTCGTCCGAATAGCAATGTCCATCACACCAAACAACAATCAAAAGGACACAAGATAACCTTGCTGAAGCGTCGTCAGAATGGCCTCGGGGAAGTTCTGAGAAAACGAAGCGGAAGTCATTCGAAGCGTCTTGGTGCTTCGTTGGCGCGTTCGGATCTCGTCTCGCTTTCTGGCAACGGAGACGTTTTGTGATTGTGTGTGTTGGTCACAGAGAGAGAGACAGCGAGCGATAGATTAGAGAGAGTGAGTGAGAGAGAGAGAAAGAGAGGAGGGGGAGAAAGAGAGAGATATTGGGGAAGAGGAAAGAGAGAGAGAGAGATGGAGGGAGAGAGAGAGAGAGAGAATGAGAAATTAGGGAGGGAGAGAAAGATTAGGGAACGAAGGAGGAAGGAGAGAGAGATTGGGGAGGGAGAAAAGGAAAGAGGAGAGAGAGAGAGGCAATATGTTTATGTCTTCGGATATGAGTGAGTAGAATTCAAGGTGAACATTTAAGCAGGGAAACATAAGCTTTACTGTTTCCTCAAGTAAGAATAATAATGCGATAAGGACTTTGGCAGAAATTTACAACCCCCCCCCCCCTAATATTGAAAGTTATTTCACAAAAAACGAATACAGTAACTGAGAAGGAACGCACCCATAACTGCCAGCTCTCTTTAGTCTGTCAAATGTCTACCCCCCCCCCACCCCCACCCCCACCCCTAGTTCCAAATTTATATATTTCGATTCTCTAAAACACTTTTAAACGTTAAGATTTTACATGAAATAACCTGAAATTAACCTGTATATCGTTAATTAGACAGCAAAATACAGTTTAGAAGAGGAATCTTTTCTGGGGTGGGGGGGGGTAATGCGGTCGTCAATCATGGTAATCTTTTATCCATCTTTCCTTTTGTCTAATCACTATTGTTATACTATTTCAGTATCATTTTCATTTATTACATTCTTATTATCATTATCTTTATCATCATTATATTATCATTATCAATGCTGAATATTATCGGCATTATTATCATTGTTATTTGTTGTTGTTGATATTACTATTAATTTCATTTTTATCATTATAACTATTATTTTCATTATTTTCATTTTAACTTTTATTTTTATTATATTCGTTATAACTGTTATTTTCCTTAATATTGCCATTATCACTATTATTTTCTTTATCATTCGTACTACTGTTATTATCATTATCATTACTAGTCTCCCCCCCCCTGTCTATCTCTTCTTTTCTATTATACTTCATTCTATGTCTTCCCTCTCTCTCCTTCTCCCCCTTCTCCCCTCTTGCCCCACTACCTTCCTCCTCCCCCTTTTGCTCTCCCGCCCACTTTCCCCTCCTCTCCTTCCCCTAACCCTTTCTTCCCCCATCCTTCCCTTTTCTTACCCACTCCTTCCCCTATCCTCCACGCCTCCCCTGTCCCTCCTCTCGCCTCTCTCACTTTCCCCTCTTCCCTTCATTCTCCGTCCAATCCCTTCCTCTTTCCTTCTTTCCCTCCATCCCTTCCTTCTTTCACCTCTCTCTTTATCCATCCCTTTCCTTCCCCCTTCTCTTCATACCCCACTAAATTCGCTCTCCCTCACCTCTCCTTTTTCTTTTCTTTTTCTTTTCCTTGTCTAATTTATCTATTTCTCTTTATATATATAATATATATTATATATATATATATATATATTAATATATATATATATATACATATATATATAATATAATATATATATATATATATATATATATATATATATTATGTATATATATCTGTGTGCGTGTGTATTTGTGTGAATGCATATATAAAATGCTTTTATTTTCATCTTGTTTACACGTTACTGTGTTTGCGCTTGTCTTCATTATATATGTGTGTGTGTGTGTGTGTGTGTGTGTAGTATATATATATATATATATATATATATATATATATATATATATATATATATATATATATATATATATATATATATATATATATATATATATATATATATATATATATATATATAGAGAGAGAGGAGAGAGAGGAGAGAGAGGAGAGAGAGAGGAGAGAGAGAGAGACATATATGTATATATATTTATATATAGATATATATACATATACATACATACATATATATATATATATATACATATATATATATATATATATATATATATATATATATATATATATATATATATATATATATATATATATATACATGAGCGCCGACAGGGGGTGTAGCCGGCGCAACGACTCCGGGGCCGGATTCTCAAAAGAGCCTTAAGTTAAGGCGCGCTGGAGGCCTTAACCGTCCTGCGGCGACCCAAGTTAAGGCCCGTCCAAAGGCACCGTATCTCGGACTTAGCTTCGTAAGCACAAACGTTTTTTTTAAGGCGCCTTATCTCTTCCTTAAGTCCCTCAGCTCCGCAAATCACTTAAGGCGTCGGATCTTCGGTGGCCAATCACAGCTGCCGTTTCAGGCGGCTCTTAGGGTATCTTGACCAATAACAAGCCGTAAATGCCAATCAGCTGATTTCGTAAACACAACGCTGTGTCCACGCCGTGGCATGATAAAACTTTTCAACATAATTGGTATTATTGAAAATGCAACCCCATACCTAAATTAAAGAATCTGAGCTTACCCAGTAGTAGTAAACATCATTCTAAGAATTTGCCTGTACCATTTTCTGCGCAAATTGATAATAACGGTGTTACAGAGGGTATAAAATGCACGATTTCCTTACGAACGCCGCGACAAATGACAAAAAGTCGTTAAGAGGGAAATCATGTGAGCCAATTAGATTCGAGCGTGACCGTGATGTGAACATAGACACAGTAGAACCAAACAGATATGGAATAGGTCATCACGTGGCAAAAGAAATGTGTCAATATACTATGCTTGTTAGTATTCTACCGTTATTTCTCGAAATTATCCCCCAAATTAACTGATATGCATCATGCCCTCCCCAGCTATCGGGACCGATATCGTAGTTATACTTCGTTTGCGAAGGAAATGAGCGCTAGATTCGCTCGGAACACGACGAAAGCTATTATAAAATTATTCTATTCACTCAAAAAATGGTGTGTGGTTGCATCTATCGGGAAAAGCAAATCACAGTTATGTTGCAATACTACACTTGTTGCCTTATCTAGGAGTCCACAATTAGTTTATGTACACCTAATGGCATTATAATTGAGTAAAATACAAATTGTAATGTATTAATTGTTCTAGGGCTGAAAAATGTTATTTATGCTTCGCCGTAATTCGCTAAAGCTGCTCTCCCCCTGCCTTAACCGA